AACGTTCCCAACAAGCTCCGTGGCTACAATGGGGCTCTCCCATGACCCATACCAAATTGGTTTTCAAGAATATTCATTTGGATTACCCAGAACTTCAGAGCAGTTCTATAGGGGCTCTTTGAAGCTGGGTATGATCTATCTTAAAATCCACAGTTTACTTAATTACTGTGCTGAAGCTGGAAATAAGAATAGCAATGCTCTTGTCATGTAAACTTTAGACTTGAAACCTAGCACTCGTAAATATTTGCACATGACTGCCAAATGGTTTCAATGTTTTTACTCTGGGCACCTCCCTGGCTGTGCCCTGTGCCAGCCTGAAGAAGCCAGAGCAGTTGTCAGTGCTTTCTCTTCTCACTTGTCCACACCTCAGGAATGAAGTTGGGTAAAGGCCTGGGGAGAGGGAATCGAAACCATCCTTACAGACTGATGAATGAGTAAAGGCAAGAATTAGAGTAAGGGCCCCAAAACTCTGTGAAGGAACAGGCTTAGCTAAAGATTATAATGATCACCAGCCACTGTCCCTTTGTTTGCTTCTGTCTGGTTGCTACTCTGGAGTGCACAGCTGGTGGCTGTAAAGATTTCCTAAGTTTCTCTGTAGATGACCCCAGCATTTGGAAACCTAAAAGTAGTTTCTAAGATATCTTCCAGGTCCTGCATTCCAGTGGACTGACTGACCCACTCATACTGCCAACCCAGACCAAGGAACTTAGTCAACCAGACTTGTGACTCCCCTACCCAAGAACCCGGTCCTGCATTCCAGTGAATTGACCCAGTCACACTGGCTGGTTGCTGAGGGACTGATGGTTCTGCACTGAACTCAGCCAATTGACAGATCCTGATTGTCTAATCCTCTACTCACCAAACTGTCTTTAAAAATTTTATCTCCCAAATTCTCAGAGAGGCAGATTTGAGAAATTTCTCCCATCTCCCCACTTAGCACAATGTGGAATAAACTCTCTTCTGTAAATCCTCTGTCTCTGGATATTGCCTTCCTTTTGGGCAGTGGCCAGATAAACCTGGTTGGGCAGTAACAAAAATGTCTGGAGCTCCCTTATTCTACCCAGCCCCTACTTTTAGGGCAGAGGCTCTACCTCAGGCATGGTGTATTGAGAATACTGGGGCTATGATATCCCCTGGCACTAGATCATGTGTAAGGTTGATGTTTTGAGTAATTACTCTCAATGTTAACTTTTTACTCTAATTTGATAGAGGTAAAAAGGTATGTTATGATGTTGGCCTGCATTTCCTTGACTATCAGAGGGTTGAACAACTTTTCATGTTCTTCTTCCATGTAGTTACCATCCATGTAATATTTGTAGCTTTAAGTACCATTTTAGAAAATGAGTTCATGGCTGGGTGTGGTGGCTCATGCCAGTAATCCTAACCCTCTGGGCAGGTGGATTTCCTGAGCTCAGGAGTTGGAGATCAGCCTGAGCAAGAGTGAGACCCCATCTCTACTAAAAATAGAAAAACTGGCTGGGTGTTTGGGGGTGCACCTACAGTCTCAGCCTAGTCAGGAGGCTGAGGCAAAAGGATTGCTTGAGCCCAAGAGTTTGAAGTTGCTGTGAGCTATGACGCCACAGCACTCTACCTGGTTCATGTATTATTTCTCATTCTAAATTCTAGCTGTTTTTAGGAAAACTCCAGAAATTGCAACTATATTGAACTTTGCTGGTAGATTCTACGGGACAATGAAATGGACATCTGGAATTTTGTTTTTTCTTAAGGAACAGCAGTTCTAAAATAAGCCTAAACTTGTCCCCTAACTCTACCACTAGCTGCATTCATTTGAATTAAATGGCATTGTAAACAACCTTAAACGTTTTCCAATCCAATTTTTCTGCCACCCACATACTCTCCAGCTCTTAATTTATTTTGAGCAGGAAAGAGATCAGTGGGTGACATGTAATTATCTTACAGTTTTAAAAGAGAAAAACATAACCATGAGTTCAACTGATGATTTTATTATCTGTTTGATATTACATAAAATATTCAAGTGTTTTTATTTTTGTTTATAATTTTTTTGAGTATGATACTTCTTGAAACCATCTCCAGGATGAAGTCCAGGCTTCCTCTTGCATGTCTCACAGTAGAAAATGGTTTCTCTCCTTCCACCTTTCTCATTCCTTCTGCTGACACCCATGCATTCCTTTGCTGATTATTTTTGGTTTGTTTTGCATTATAAAGTGCATCTTCCCATTTAGCTTTTCCTCAGTGTCAGAAGATGATGGTTTTCCCTTCTTTCTTGAACTTTTGTTCCTCATGTTGCTCACAACCTGAGTGATGAGATTTCTCCCGTAAGAAAGGTGTGCCATTCACCACTCTCCTTATCTAATGAGTAAAGGATGTAGCTGTTCACAACTGCAACTCCCCACCAGGATGGATAATTTTTTCCACCATTTGTATGACCTCCTTGTAAATCCATAACATCCGGTACTGATCAGCTCTGTTCACTCCTCCCATAAACGTTGCATATTCTAAAATAAATGTCAGTTTTTCAAATTGAACAGGGTGTTTCTTCCTATAACCAGTGACCAACTCTGTTTGAGGACCAAAGAATATACTCAGCATTGTCATCAACCTCTTGCATGGACTAAGCGGTACATTATTTTCATATCATGCGGATAGGCATGTAATTCCTATTCCTGAAGTTTCTTCTTCTTCTTTTCTTTTTCCTTTTTAGAAGCAATATCTATTCCTATTACACGTACTTTCATTTTGTGCAACTCCTGAGCAAGTTGAGAGCTTGTGCAGAACCTGTCAGTGAAGATGTGACAGCCTGAACCACCTGTATGCGCTTGCAAAACTTGTGCCAAATGAATCACTATTGGTGACATAAATGGCAAATCCAATCGAGACTTTCTGTTGTTGTGTTGCCATAACAGGAAATGTGAGAAAAAACAAACATTTTCTGAATCACACAGGCAAAAAGTTCATAGGCCCCCACTTTGGAGGCTTGTTTGGATAGTAGCACTTGAATCGAATCCATCCTTTGAAACCTACTGTGCTCTCATGTATAGCCGCGTTTCTTCCTGGTATAAAAGTTCTTTGCCTTTATTGTCAATCTGCTCACCAACATTCTTCACCTTGTTCCCTTGGTTACACACACTACCTTGATCTGTGACAGGAGGGACTAAAAGGAGCATCCAAAATATTTGGAGGAAAAGGAGATGAGAGAACAGATCCTTGAAAAATGGGGTTTG